TCACTTGGAAGGTACGAGAAAAATATTGAATTTTTTTTTCGATAATTTCTGGAAGATATTAACAGTTGAAAATCGAATTTCAACTTTGTTTTAAGCATTATTTTGAAAGTGTTCCATGTTTAATTGGAAGCATATTGGAATACTTAAGCATTCAAAAAGAAAAATTACGATTTATGCTTCGAATTACGAACATTTTTGATATTAAAAAAGTTCTATTTTACAATTTTTTGATGAAAAGATAGTGGACGACAACAGGACGACAGAGAACATTGCACAACAACTGACACTTTCCCAGGCAGCAAATAGATACCGACTACATTCCTACCACGTATGTAAGATCACATTAAACCAATGGATTACTGAACACCGGTATAAATTGAGCAGGACTTAATTAACCGAATACGAGAAGCTGCTCGAGAAGAGTGCATAATAAGGTGATAACACAGGTACTTGTTCGGAGTTACAGACTCAAATGTATGTAACTCCGCGGTCGAGTGGCATTGTTTTGCCTCTAACTTCTACGCCACTTTTCAAGCACATTTTGAAAGGCCAAGGGCTTCTACAAATCAGCCGTTTAGAAGAAAATGACAAAAACTATTACTATCACTACGTTTTTTTCTCATCAAATGCCACTTTCCGCTAAAACGGTGGACATTAGAGCGTTCAACTAAGAGCACTTTTTTGTACAGAAAACAATCATCTTTCCACGCGTACTCTAAATTAGGCATTTCCCCTCGAACCGTAAAAGTTAGAGGCCAATATTCCATTGAACCCCAAAAACCGCAGTTGTTGAGCCTCAAATTCATAAACCCCGAATAGTAGCCAAAAACTGGCAAAAAAGTCGCTAACACCTTGAGCCAGTGGCACACCCTGTACAAATTTCTATAACAAAAATGATTTCCAATATAAAGCGGAAAAAATAAACTAACAAACGTTGCCAATGCAGTTATCAGCAAAATGATTCCAGGGAAATGGCCAAAGGGCGTCATGGTGTTGCATCTGCACGATACTAAAGAGATAACTGATGTTACTATTGGAATAATGCTTTAAATCGTTGCTCAATGGCGCCAGGCAGATACTGCGATTTTTAATAAATTATTACCACCTTAATCAGCCCAACTGAAAATCATTAAACATCTTTTGATTAATACCAAAAACTCGTAATTTTTTGCGATGTTTACGGTTCCGAGCAATATTTATAGCCCACATCACTTTGCGTGTTTAATCATTGAAACTGGCAGATTAATCTACAACTAATTAGGGCCAAAGCGAGTGGATTTGCGGATTATCCCAGAAATACGCAAGTACTGTCCATCTCACTAAATAAGCGAACAGATAATGTTTTAGTGTGTTTTCAGGCGATATTCCCCTTCCACATATTTGCGCCACTTGCCCGATAAAAGCGAAAACCGCTCAACACTAACAATCAGTTTACAGACAGTTTACACTAGTGTAGTGCTGGATTATCTTAGTGCTTTTTTAAATATCTCACTCGGGATAAGAGGTTGAAATGTGGGCGCCATATCTGTGCATACAGGAGGTGAACAATTTGGAAAGTGACCGATTTATTAAAATATTCGGAAATATCGTCGAACACTGTTTGGCCGCCGGTATTGGAATCTTGAAAAACCGTCCGTTTCAAAGCATTGACGATGTCGTTAAAGCCATTGAGAGTTATTTGGACAGCTTAAAACCCCAAGGTTCGTATTTAGTTCTACATACTTAATGTTTAAATTCCCCAAGTCCGATCAAACACTGCTAGATCAACACACATGCAGTGTTTCTGCTCTTGTTATGTTTAGCTCGCACAAAGGCGTTATCGCATAAGTTGTATACGCGCTGGAATAATTAAGATGCATTTAGACTGAAATGTATATCAATTTTCAGAAAAGCGAGCTATTCTCCAACTGTACCCAGACAGTGTTAGTACCTTAGCAGGCTTCAGCAACTCCATGCTAGAGCTCAACATCCATCAGAAAATAATCGAAACCAAGCCGCGAAATTTGCGCTTTGAAGAGAAGAAAAGACTGAAGCAACTGAGCAAGAGCTATAAAGAAAAGCACGGGTTTCCGTTCATCATTTGCTTGAAAGTGGACAATATTGAGGCGCTGTGCGCGCTAATCGAAGCTAGAGTGATGAACGAAACGCACCAGGAGATCGAGATAGCTTTAAAGGAAGTGAAGAAGATTTGCAAACTACGAATTCACGAAATTATTAAATAGTTTGAGTACAAATATGTATACGTTTAAGATCTGATTGAAGTCAGTCATGTGATAAATGTTGATCTTTCCGAGTAAAGCCTCTAATTTAGGAATTAATGCAACTGAAGACTGTTTTTATACTTAGATGTAAACGTATTTTTAATTAGTTAGAAAATAAGCAGTTAACACAATTTCATTTAATTAAAAACGATTACAATGTTAAACATTTTTTTACGAACTTTTTTTTGGGTATTTCGCCTCAAAAACTTTTTGTAAAAAGTAAAATTTCAGTAACAACACCTCATGATATAATTGAAAATACAAAAAATGTAATTTATAAAATTCCTTGCGAATGCAATAAATTTTATAT